TAAATCTTTTCTTCTTTTGTCATTCAATCAAATTCCAACAACCCAACCAGGGCCAGTCAAATCCACCACAGTCTCGCGCTGAGCTAGGAATAAAGTTCACGTAATCACATGAGAGTGGAGAAAACAGTCCCCCATCCGTAAGTTCAAATCAACTCAAAGTTCACAGTGTGACATGATGGCGTCATGTAACAAGGCTAAGAATCGGTTGCATGACAATTGCCGTCAAGTTTCGTGGAGGTGCTGTGATTGGAGCGTTTTTTCTTGGATGTTGTATCAGTTGATGATTGGCCAGTCATGATCACACGTGCATTCTCTTGACTTTTGTGCTGCCACGATCTTTTTTGCTGTGCTCATTTTTGTTTCGTTCTTGGTGCTTGCAGTGGTTTTACTTTCTGTTGTTTGGTTTTTCTTGTTCAGCGTTTTTTATGCTTCTTTAGATGTCACATAGAGAAAAAAACAAAACAAAAGCACAAAAAAAATAGTAAAAATAAAGATGAATTCCTGAATTATCGAACATGGGATCATTTAACTGTGCAAACCATTATTTTTTTTCTTAAAAATTAAGGAAAACATCTTAAAAATATCTATGCGTGGTTGATTTACTTGCACTTGAAAATATTGTGATTTTATTTTTTTCTAGAAATTTGGGGGCCTTTTTCAATTGACACTTTCCTAGGTCTGGTCTTTTTCCAGTTAGGCCATTTTAAATCTCACTTCAAAAGGAAAAACAAAACAAAACAAACAAATAAAAAAAACAAAAAACAAAAATGAAATCGCTACAGTAACAGAATGATAAAAAAAAATTCTAAACCAAAAAAACTAGAGTACAAAGCCAGAGGCCTCTGAGAGAGAGCCTGGTAACATTTATAAGGTTTGTATTGTAGCCACTTACGCTAAATTAAATGCGGGGAGGGGAGGTGGGGGACTGGGGTTTTGGGAGGGTTTTTGGTTGGTTCGGAAAAAACAGTACTGACAAAAGCAAAATGCACCTTTTTGTTTACAACTGAAAAAGGGTCCTTGACAAGTGTTTTTTAATTTTATTATTATTTTATTTGGTGTTGTAATTGTTTAGACTGCTGTGTACGGTTTGCTGTTTGTTGAATCAACAGTGTGAAAAACCTGCCAGCATGGATTGATATACGCATGACGTTGTCCCCTCAACTGGGGGCTTTGCAGTTCTAACTTTCTTGATGTAACCAGTCACCCCCCATGTATAAGTGGAAGCTGCTTGCTAGAATGGAGATGAGTCTCATTTGTTAATTCACAATGATTAAGCATTCTCCTCCTGATTCTAGTCAGATCATGATTTTTTTCTTAAAAGAAAAACAAAACACCAAAAAGCCACCATTCAAAACAAAATCGAGAACTGGCTAAGTTAATTTAAGTTTGATGATTAAATCCGTTGTAACTTCTTTTAGGCTCTCCCACCCACTCCCTTGAAGTTCTGAATTTCCTCTAAATTCCCTGGCATGTATGAGAAAAATATTATGTGTGTGTGTGTGTGTGTATGTGTGTATCTATGCATATACATACACACATATCCATGTATAGCCACATATGTGCAGGTGAATATATTCTACACATATATCCAGATATATATATATACATAGCCTCGCAAATAGTTACTTACCTTGGGAAAAAAGTGGTTGGCTGGAAACTGGGCAAGGATTCAGCAAAATTCATGTCACGAATCTTCTTTTCCTCAAGTGGGGGAGGAGTGGGCTGGGCTGCTAGATTTTTGCTGTCTTGTTTGCTAGGCTTCTGTATACATATTGTATCTGGGCCAGATCTCTCAGAGATTAGTTTAATTATGAATTCATGTTCCACAGTCCCAAATTCTTCCCTTAGATCAAGCCGCCCCCAATCTAGAACTCTAAAGGAACCGAAATCAAGACCCTTTCCCCAACCACTATACTTCAGCTACTGACATCACCACTAGATCTCCCAGTGGTTTCTTACTCTGAATAGAAGAGTCGATTTCTTCTTTATGTATCATGATCATGACTAATTTTCATACTGGTCTCTTCCCTTCCTCCCACCATCCCCCAGAGCTCCCACCCTAATCCCCAGGCAGGTTCCTTTTGGTGTTTCAATGCATTGTGTGTTTCCTCTCTTGGCTTAATCAGCCCTGATTTTCTTCATTTTAGGGCAGGATGCTGAACGGGCTACATTAAAAAACAAACCTCTCTCTCTCTCTATTTATAAATGAGAACTGTTGGATGACACCTTTGACATATCAGCCAATATCAATCAAGCTGAGGACTCCAGACACTCTCTGTGACTGTAACATTTCTTCAAGAAAAGTATAGCATCTATGGAGTTCAGAGGGCACGTGTTTGGGGGAAAATATATATGACAAAGAAGAAGATGAAGAAAAATGAGGAAAAAACACACAAAAAAGGCAACTTTTAAAACAAAATAACTTGAGACCAGATGGGGAGGCTGAAGGGCTGGGAACTGGGAAAAGTCGCTGCTTACCGATCCCCGGGGCTTTTCCAGCCCATGGGCGCCTGCGGCAGGCTGGGGCAAGCGGTGTGGCGGGACCTGGTCCCCAGGGGGCGGCTGGGAGGCCGCCACTGAGCATCTCTATCTGTCATTCCTTTAGCTATTTAGGGACCAAAGGACCAAACTTTTTATTGCAGATGTGTAGCTCTATGTCAAATAGAGGGGGAATGGAGGAGAACCTCCTTCCTGCCTCCTGGCTGTTCTTGAAACAGCTTAGAGCGATTCTATGAAAAATGTAATAAAAAAAAATTAAAAAAAAAAACAAAAAAATCAAAAACACAAAAAAAGGAAAACTTATGCTTAATTGCTTTTAAAACAGCAAGAAAATAGTTCTTTGATACTTTGAGAGGCGCTTTGATTACCCTCATTCAAGTCTATGACACTTTCCTATGGTTTTCTGTATTATATGTCTGGATGGAGCTGTTAAGATGAACAAATTGGTGGATATTTGGGGAAAGCAACAAAAATATTAAAACTCATTAACTGTGAAGTGTGAGAAAACAGGAGGGGAAAAAAAGGGACTTACAATGCAAGATATTTGTTGTGAAAAGTCTGTAAATGCTTCTAACTCTTCCCCCTCTTAAAAATCATAATAGTTGTACAGAATTTTAAAAAGGAGAAGTTTAAAATACCTATATAATAGAAGAAAAATTAGAGGAAAGCAAAAAAAAAAAAAAAAGGAAAAAAAAAACCTATAGAAGTTAGCGTTACTGCTAAAATCCCAGATGTTGTAGGACTGTACTTTTGTAGAGTTTAGACTGAGCATCAATCCCTACTCCCCGCGAGTGCTGTCGGACGACGCCATTGACCCCGAGGGTCAGGCTGGACTCGCCCAGACCTGCGGGCTCCTGGCTGCCC